AGGAGGAGGAGGAGGAGGGGGATCCTTTTCAGAGATGAGAAAAGAGGAGACAAAGCGAAAGAAGATGAGCAGATGGGTAGAATAGTGGAGGAGAAAATTAAAGGAATGAGGCAGAAGAGGAGGATTGATGGGTGGAGAGAAGAAACAGGAGGAGAGAGGCCAAAAAAGAGGGGGTGAATTCATGAGTGTGGCCTCATGAATAATGGGATAGGGGCATCTAATCCCACCATCTCAGTAGCTGGAACAGTGACACAAGAGGCCTCAACAGGTCCGGAGAAAAGAGTAGGACAGAAAACTGTTGAAAATGCTCAAAGTGGATGTGAAGTACGATGACATTCTGAAATCTGAAAGTAGTTAAAGTAAAAATGGCAACTGTAAAAAGGATGAGTGAGGAGAGGAAAGTGAGTTGTTTGAAGGCTAGGTTAAAGCTGCAAAGAGGGAAGAAAATGAAAAAGGAAAAAGAAGACAGTAGAGAAGGATGCAAAAATAGTTGGACTGCGACACCTACTATAGTTGTTTTCTTGGTAACAGGACTGGAAAAGTGATGTAGAAGCTTTGCAGATGAAAGAGGAGGTTTGGGCAAAATAGCCAAGCAAAGATGGATGTTCACAGGGTGGGAAATACCTGAAGAAATAACTGGGTGGACAAAGGAGCAAACAAGTACAGCGACAGAGAGGAGCGGTCAATGAAGGAGAAAAGATTGGGGAAGAAGATGAGAGCAACTCTGGAGGACAGGAAAAGAGGATGCACAAAGTGTTTGCCGTGTATTATCATGGGACCTCAGTGGTTAGAGCATTCTGATATGCTGTCTGTTGAACACTAATGGCTTTCTAGTTTCTCTGTGTGTATGTACATGTTCTTGGCATCCATCAAGCTACGATTTTATCACAAATTTCCTTTGGGAGAATTGTGCTGGGGGTAGAGCTCCTTAAAAGGCAACCTGGCTTTTATTTGTGTGAAATAACCCTGTGTAGCAACTAATTCATTCATATTTTATCAATGTCCTACAGAGACCACAAGCACTTAATAGGGGATGGATTTTTTGCGACCACAGAATACTTGTGTGTCCTCTGTCCTCAGAGGATGTCAGTCACATTAACCAGCTGTCCCAATTCATTTTGCATTTGAGCACCTGCAGATTTTACATCTGGCTGACATCCCAGACTGCTTATGCTCACAAAATCTCCAAAGCAAGCATCCCAGGCGATAAAAATAGCAACTGGATTTTTAAAGTTGCACATACTCAGTTTTAATTTGTCTTTGCACATACAGTATACTATTTATCAGTGATGGAAAGCCAAATGGAATGGAAACATGTTGACGATTCACTCAAATTGCAACAAATTAAGGTATGTGAATTGGAAAAACTGAGTATTAAGTAAGTAAGGATAAAACCTTGGTATGTAATGGACACTACTTCACAATAAAGGCTAACTGTAATTGTTCATGTCTGTCACTTTAGTTTCAATGTTTTATTTGCCAAGAAGTGCTACCCAACCCGTGGTTTACACCACTTGCGTCTATGTCGTGTGTGCGTGTCGGAATGTCTTGATTTTTATTTCAGATGTTAACAGATTAGACATGTGTCAGATGCAGCCGTCACACGCTGTATATGCCATGTAAACCCCAGATTATTCAAAGAGAAGTTAGAGGTGTTTCAAGGACAAAGGAGAGTGGTTAAGAATGGGGTTTTCAAAAGAATGTGAAGACAACCAAGGCCTTATACCAACTCAATTTGCTTATTGCAAAGGCGTGGAAAAGTAACATACCACTGGGGAAAACCTTAGTTCAGCAGCAGTCAAGGAAATTTGTATGTAGCCAAGCCCCTACTCTTCAGTGGTTCGCCGCAATTCACATTTGGCTTTAGATGTAAACAAATGCTAGACAGCATTCAGGAAATTTAAGTGTTGCAAATAAACAAATCCAGCAATCTGGCCAAGTTGAGTGTATGGTACCACATCAGAGATATGGCCATTCACAAAAAGTGTTTTGTGTTGTTTTCTCTGCATGCCATTGAATGAATTCATGAGAGGGAATGTCACTGACTGGCAGCAGTTCTTGCGGATTATGTAGTGATGGTGCAAAATCAAAGTCATGCTGCTGAAGTTATACTGCTACTAGTGTGTAAGAGGTGACTCCAGCAGTGTTTTGGACCCACTGTGTAAACCTAGAATGCCAGATGAGCTCACATAACTTCAACATATCTATCTGATTTAGATGTGGGACATGATTTTTGTGTAAATAGGTGCACATCATAAACAGTGCACATACTAGAAAGCCACTGTCTCAATGTAAAACCATGTCCCAGCTTTGTGATTTACAGGAGAAAGTCTGTTTTTGTTCTTTTGTTGTTTTATATATATCCAGTTGCCTCTGGTTCAGCATATACAGAATACAAAAGAGGTTGGCAGACGGGCCTGTATTTTCATTTTTTCATTTTTTAATTACTCTAAAACTGTTTTGTAAAGCAAATATCAGTATGTCTGCATTTGGGGAGAATCAGGAACTGTGTTGAGAGAACATGGAGTTGTTTCCCACTCTGGTTTCCTGTCACTGGCTAGCATGCAAGGAGCAGCTAAATGGGTTGTGACAACCTATGACACTGAGGGGGTTGTGAAGACCAGTGGGTTCAAAATCTACTCTAGTCGGATAAATTCATTGTTGCTTTTGATCTTTTGGCAGCAGATTTCCTTTTTCCTTTTCCTTTTCCTTTACTTTTTAAACAACAATACATCAATGTATTGACAGACATTGTCATTAAGTGAGTTAAAATACACCAAAGATGCTAACAATATTGTCATACATTGTCAACCTGTCTAAAGGGATCCCCACTCTTTGTTTGAAAAAAGCCCACTGACCTTACAACCCTACATGAATGACTGAAATGATGGGTCATAAAAACCATCAGCCAGCTCTCACACTCTGCAAAGCTTAATTGAATTACACTCTGTACACTGCTTTGTGCACTGACTGTGTAAGTCGGAGGAAGATCAAGACGATGAGAGAGACATAAGTGGAGAGGGAAAATGTGTATCCCCGAAGCGGCAATATGCATCTGTATACAGACAGTGTATTAAAGCGTCGCAAGTTTCATTAAGATTTGAGGACAGAGATTTGGCCACCAGCAGGTTAACGTGTGTAGCAGTAACGCAAGTGTGTTCTTTTGTGAGATTATGTGTGTGTTTAGCTAACAAATGTATTTGCTGATAATGGCTGTCCCAACAATCCATTTGTCAATATTTGTAAGAATTTTTTTTTAAAAGAAATACATTTGGTAATCAGTTGTTAAAACTGTGTCAAGAAACTTAATTACATAACAACCCCAGTGCACACATATAGAATCAAAATAAATACAACATTAGTTGAACTGTGCCAAATAACTATTTTTATTTTCTCTTTTTATTTTTGTGTCTTTTCACTTCCATTTCTCGCAATCAAAAGGCCTCAAGATTTTTTTATGTTTTCATACTCTCTTTGATTTGAGCTGAAGGTAATATCATTTTTAACATTTTGACACACGTGGGAGTCCAAACTCCCAGTCTGGGGAACCACTGAAAGACTTCCCTTTAATTCCTCCTGAATAAAAAATGACCATTTTAATGGATAGTCAAATTCTTGATGGCTTTTCAGTAAGCTAATTTTGCCTGGCAAACAGGATTCTTAGAGTGAGTGGATAAATTCATCCCCAGGGTGGGTTCCTCAAACAGAAATCCACCCTAAAACTCAGAGTATAACATTTCTGTGTCCTTGATCAATTAAACCTGGTCACTTATTAAACAACAAGTACTGTAAAACTTCTAATAATAGCCCGGGCGTTTATTTGCTTAAATCACTGAACTCCCCCTGCCTTTATTGGGGACAAGCGTCTATTTGGGACAGGCGTTTAATTCCTTTAGCACAAATCTCAGATGGAAAACCTCTCTAATTGTACTGCTTCTCTTGAGTTCTGTTAAGTAAGTTTGACAACTTACTGTAAATTTCAGGTGGTTTTCTCTATGCCAGCACCATGACACTTGAACGTGAATGTCGTTTTACGGCAGCTGAAGATTTGCGAGCAACCGACTTCACATGATAATATTCACAACTCTGATTAATTAATAATGAGTAATGAAAACCTTTGATTCTTTTTATCAGTGGACCCTTACGAATGAAAGGGATATAAATAATGATGGAACGGACATGGAACGAACCGACTTTACGATTTTCCGTCTTTACGATTTTCCGTCTTTACGATTTTCCGTCTTTCTTAATTACCATGCCGGTAAGTCTGAATGTATTAACGTTATACTTTGGTGTTTATAGATTCCTTTAAATAAAGTGACGGATTGAACTGTGGAGAATCTAACTGTTATAACGATGTACAGCATCCATTTTGACAAAAGTTTAAACGTTTATATTTGTGTAGATGATTTAAATGTGTTAAAATTCGCTCTAGGGGCGACTAGGTGGGTTTTAAGATGTTTTATACATTCAGATCATTTCTATAAAATCCAGACCAGGCCTTTATTGGAGACCTGCGTTTATTTGTCAAAACGTGTAGCCACACCAGGCTTTTAAAGGAGACCTGTGTCTATTAGGGACCCTGCTTTTATTGGAAGTTTTACGGTATCTACAAAGCTGGTATCAATTACGATGTATATGATTTGTGTCCTTTTTGTTTAACTTTTAAAGGGCGATGTAAAAATTGTTTTACATGTGGGTGGTGTTGAGTTTTATAGTAAGGATTTACATTTAAAGAACCAGAACCAAATCCACCACACCACCACATATTACTGCTGACAGTTTTCAAAGGCATGCCATTGTTTTTAGATTTCTACCTTCTTTCTTTCTTGCTGTTACTGAGTGGGCTCTGGGGTGTTGGAATCCAAAAAGCCAGTCTTACATGATGACCATCATTTAAGCGCCAACAGCACAGTGTCTGCCTCCAGCACATCTTTCCTTGACACTTAACAAATCCCACTCCAGAGAGATAGCAGCACTAAGGAAACAAGCAGCCTAGAATTATGGTTCACATCATCATATAAGTGTACTGTGTGCAAGCATTAGTTAGTTACATTGACATGACTATGCAATGCAACCACACTTGAGATAGGTTGAGAAGGTTGATTAATCATCCAGAAATGGTCTTCCATGCGGAAACCACAATTATTAGCTTCACTTCATGCTGAAGTGCTGGAGAACCATGGCTCAGGAGAGCCATCAGCATACTGCTCACTGCTGCCATCATCCAAATGCAACACCATGAGAGGAGAGCACTAAAAGACATACTATCAGCATTTTCCCCTTGAATGGCTGGAATAGCTGTCCAGGCATGCAGGTGGGTTTCCTGGTTTGACAGCAGCACGCTCAGAGCCAAGGCAGACGAAACATGTCTGGCGGTCATTACGCAGGGACAAGGTCGACAGAGACAAGTGGAGTGTGACAAAGCCAACCTTGGCTTTCATTGTTGTCCTACTGGCCACTGAAGACAAATAGATGAGTTCTGTACGGTGTGTAGCCATTACTAAGGGCCAGTTCCCGAAGATCTGATTGTGCAAAGTGAAAATATTCAGTGCTCAGACATGCAAAGATAATTTGTTAGAATGCAAAGCCTTTGTTAAACTTAGCTATGTTCTTCTTTAGAAAATGGATCGGCAGTAATTTCCAATCCATAGCATACATAATTTGTAGTACATGGGATAAAACATGAAGCAGAGACATGAAGAGACCCCCCCCCCGCTCTCTCTCTTGCACACTCTCACAAGTTTAAACAAATGCACACACACTCACAGACCCATCCTAACACACTCCGACATCGCTGAGCTACTCCACAAGCATCTGTGTAAACAAATGTCTGGAATATGGCCTTTTTGCACAGGTGTATAAAGAAAGGCGGTGGCTATGAATCATATGGCTCACTTATTGTTTGGCTAATAATAGCACACAGCAGGCTTCACTGATAGGCCTATTATTCCCAGACAGCGAGGTGGATTAATGGGAGACAGGATTAATACGCCTATTTTCATCCCTGGCTAAATCATGTCTGTCTGTGTGCATGACCTTCTGCCTGTCTGATTATTGTGTCTGTCTTCTTGCCTAATTACCTTTATGAAAATAAACGTATTAATTATAGAAACTAATCTAACCACACATTTTAAATCGCAAAAGCAGCAGAACACAAAGCTGGTAGTGTCCAAGTGGTGTGAATTCAGACAGTTGAGGATAAAATGATGGTTTTCTGACTGGATTTTGGTGGATGAGAGTGGTGGTCACCCACTGAGGATCATCTGGAGGTTATTTACATTTTATCAACAAAGAAAAAAGAGGAGCCCTGGGGGTCTGAAGTTGACTCTTCAAATGCAAACTCACCTGGAGAGTTGAAAAACAAAATTCAAGTGCTTCATAAAAGAATATTTTGACATTAAATTGGTTGCTTGCATACTGTGTGCAAGCACTGATCTCATGTTTTCTGAACCCCCCTCCCACACACTCACACACACTCACACACACACTCTCAAACTGTCTTCTCACTCCACTCCAGTTTGGGAATGACCAGCGTGCAGAGGAACGCAGGAGAGGAAGTGAAGATTTGCTCTTTCTCCACTTTGCGCAGCGTCTGCAGCCAAATGCGGCACATTCCAGCTCCTCACCAGCTCGTACTTGGACCTTTCGGTTGATGGGGGAACACTAAACTCGTCTCATAGTGGTCGTGGAGCTTTAGAGAGACACATTGAGCAGCGCTGATGTGAGATCCAAAATAAGGAGACATGTCTGCCGCCCAAGGACTCCTCAACAGCGTCTTCTCCTGCTCCTCTCCTGCGTCCAAAGTCATGACAAAACGGAGGCTACGCCAAACCCGGAGCTTGGACCCCGCTATCATAAGACACTGTGACTCCGAGACCGAGGGAGTAAGTGGCGCATCGCTTTCTGGAGCGGCGGCTGCGGACGCAGGTGCGTCTCCGGAGCGCTTGGCTGTGAAACCGGCTTTACGCACCAGGATACCCACACTTAAGGAGCCCATAACCCCGTCCCTCTCATCTCCTTCCATACCTTTGGATGTTTCTCCATCCTCCAACTTCCACTTTGACTTTGATACGGTGAAGCGTGCCAAAAGGAATACCGCCGGGGATTTACCGTATCTAGTGAGGGGACCCGGCGCGGCGCCGTCCGGCAGCACTGGCACGCTGTTCTCTCCGCGGAGGTGGCTACAGAGGAAAGTGCAACCGTCCAGCTCTCACGCTTATGTTGTGTGGAAATCAGAGGTAAAGTTTGAAAAAGTTTGATTCCAGAGCGCTGCATTCGTTGCTTCTTCTGTGCTTTTAATTCAGATACCCCGCAGTGAACTTGTGCCACAGTTTTCAGAAATGTGAGTTTGTCACAGTTTGTCCGCGCAGTGCTAAACATATAGACATCAGGCAACCATCAAGGCAATCAACCATGCACAATCATTTATTTTCTCTCCCTTTTCTTCAGTTATCTCCTCACTATTATGGATGCATGCTGAAATGCTTTATGTCGGGACAGTAAAAGTGACTAAACTCCATCCCTTAATTTGACCTACATACTAGCAAGTCTATATAACTGCTCCTGGAACAATTAGAAAAGGCAATCAGCAGACTTTACGGCTGATTCCATGGTGTGCCAGAAGACACATCTGCTGAAGATCTCTTGTCAGTACAGCAAGACTCTAGAAATTGCACTTTGGATTGTTGGAAAGTTCCCCTTTGCATCTGAAATCTGACTGTGTGTCCAGTCATCATGACTTGAGTTGTGTGTGTGTGTGTTTGTGTGGAGATGGTGCTGCCTAACTGGAAGATTTATGAAGGGGGAGTGTTGACCCAGCACTGACATCTGCACCTGGAAGCTGTCCAGCATCAAACCAAAAGTTCTAGTGTACCTACAACTGGTTGTCTTGGTCTTGCCCAAGGGCACATGGGTAATTATCTGGGGGAGGGAAGGGAAGGGGTTGCAGGCAGCACTGTTTCACTTCTTCCACCTGGATTTTTTTCTGTGTTTTCAGTCCTTGTGAGAGTCACACCTTACAAAAAAATACCTCTGGGAAAGTTCAAGAAACTCTTCTAAAGATTAAATAATTCCAACAAAATGTGCATTGAAGTGCACAGATAGTTTTTTTTTCCCTCAAAATCCGTTTGTTTCCCTCCTACTGTTGTCGTCATTGGGCTGGTTGGGCTTTTGTCTTCATATAGGCCTCAAATTGAGTGCGAATAAAGGGAAGGCAGTGTATGAAATCCTTAACAAAACATACTTGGGCGACTTATTTTCAGCAGGGGGGGGGGGCGCATAGTTGGCACGAATCCACATGCGCTGGTGAGAAGGTATGATAATTTCCCTGCTTCTTTTGTGGACTGTCTTTCTTTGCCTTAGTTGATATGTATTTTTGCAACACACAGTGCAAGTGTGTGTGTGTGTGTACGTGCAGCAGCGCGTGTGTGCTGATGTGCGGATCTTAAGGACACATGGCCCGGGATTCGGTTCTCACGACTGCAAGCGGTCACAGGGTCAAAACCATGCGGCCCTCAAACAGCTCTCCCATCATTTCCTATTACAAAGACCAGCTCCAGCTCCACTCTCTCTGGTTCACTCTCTCTCAATGTGTCTCACTCGCACACACACACAGGCACACATCCACACTCTCATCTCCTCCCTCTCTTCCTCTCTGAGATGTCAGCAGAGTTTCCCACCGCTGTAACTCTATTTTCCATGCTGCCCCTCCCGCACTCTACACACACACAAACACACACCCCCCCCTGCCACGGCCCACTGAGTATAACATGAGGCCATCAGTTTGGAGTCATTAGTACAATCTGGACCATGTAGTTATTGCACCTCAGAGTGTTTGTAAAAATACCAAGCCAAAAAGTGTTTCTGGTCCGCTGGGAGGTTTCACACACTGTTGGGTGTGAAGTAAAATCCTGAAATAAAGTGTAAGCAAAGACTATTATGTTGGGAATGTACTGAATGTTGCAGATTTTAGATTGATTTAGTTGCAATGCCCTTTTTTTTTTAAAATGTAAAATGATCAAGCACGCCACCATAATGCTTACTGTAGCATGCTTTTTTTATTAAGATATCTCATACTAAGGAAATATACATGACCTTTTCCCACAGAGGGATCACTCGTGTTCAGGTGTGTCCATGCCATCCTTGTCCTGACTTTACTTCGTTAGTTTTGTAGTTTTTTAAAGAACAGTCTATCAGACGCAGTCATAATTCCCCATCTGGCATGTTCTTAGTAGCTCTGATGGAGGTGGGCTCTGTTAATCGGGTATAAATGAAGATCTGAAAGGTTATCAATAGGGATGCACCCATTTTTTGCGGGAATTTTGTAACCGGAAATGGCTTCATGCACCACTGAGCAGCTTTCACAGGAATGAATGGAGCCCGGACTCCCAAGCTGTATCCAGTTCTCCCTTAATGCATCCATTCTCCACAGCCACAGAAGAATTATGCAACTGTTCTCACATGCTAAGAACATGCTAATTTGAGGTGTAAAATCAGTGGAGTGCTTTGTCTTTTTGGTTCACGAGGTAGCCTACTACCAATATGTCCCAAACCACCCTTTTATTTCACTCTATGGAATGGCAAAATAGACTAAAACAGCTTTTTAAATTGCTTTGAACTATTATCCGAATATATTCAGGTCTCAATTCCACAAAATAAAGTAATAGCAGCTATAGACGACAACACATTGGCTGAATGTTACAAATATAAATAGACAGGTGCAAGTTGACGTATCCCATGTGCAAACTTTTGCTCGGATTGAGATCCCACTTTAAAGGTTTTGCATTTGCACC